ATTACACGTTGCCGCTTCCCTGCCACGATGACTCGCTGCGTTTATAAGTCGCAAAGTCTCCTGACTAAAGGCCCCCGCGCTCAGCGTCCGCGACAGTCCGGATCGTGCTTTAATGTATAAATATACGAATTCATCAACCTATGATACAGACCGGGCGTGTGTCGTCCGTGTCACCTGGGCCCAAATGTACATGAACATTTCTTGAGACAGGGCCGCCCATCCTGACCATGAGACCACATGCCACGCCCCTACATGGAAGGTGTGCGCAAGGAAAAAGGTGATCGTGAGCCCAATCCTTCCCTATGTGGATGTGAATTGTTTCATAAAGGTTGCTAAGGACGACTACCGACAGGCTGATGGTACCGCAAGGCTCCGCGGTCCATGTGCCAAGTGTCTGGTATAAACAGGAGCGCCGGCCCGCCGTGCTGAAGGCCTGAGAGCCCTGCATGCTGCCCGATGACATGCAGCACGCTTGGTGACGTTCACTACCCCATACTACACGGCATAGACAGGACTGCCTGCCAGGCAATCCTGTCTGTGCCCTGAGACACCAACTGGCTAGCCGTGCTGGCCGGTAGGTGGCACGCCAAGTGCACATCAGCGCAGCCCTGGCTGTGCTCACCAGGGAGTCCAGGAGCTGATGCCCAAGCCGCTTTGTGGGGCACATCAAATTGTGCTGCCTGCAGATTTCTCTCGCAGCTGCAGAATGGCTTGCCCATTTTGGACCCTGCTGATTGTGCTGTCACTCCTGCAGCACTAGCCGAAAGCGTCGATTACCTTGCTAGTTTTTCAGTGACAAAGAGCAGCCCTGCCTATCACATGTGTGGGCGCATGTATTCGCATAAAATGCCTGCTGTTCTGGTGCGGCGCACCGTGCCAGTTTGTATGTTGCGATTGTGCTGACGTGCTGCTGCAGGTTTTGTAAGGGGCGAGGATGCTCGACCCCAATAAAGGTCGTGAAAGCAAAGGTATGATGAGTTTGTTGGCCGTGCCAGACCCAATGGTAGGGCACACCGTGCATGCCATAAGCAGCCCTGCTGCGCCAGCCAAACATGGCGTTCACAACGCAAGCGGCCTGCGCGCGAGCATGTTGCCATGCAAGGGCGCGGCGCTAAGTGCTTGGATGAAATAAGGGCCTCGCCTTCGTCAGGCAGGGCCCCCATGGCGGCATCACCAGGCCAAGCCACGGGCAGACAGAAGGACATGGGTTCCAAGGTTTCAAGACAAATAGCCAACAGCATCATACGGCCGGCTGACGGCCCCAACGCTCCCTTGCTGCCGTCCGGACGCTGCAGTCAGCAATCGCGCCGCCGCACCAGCGCAACGTGCGGCCAGCCCTGTGCCCAGCCTGCACATTCCCTTGGCAGACCATGCAACCGAAGTGCCAACCGACAGCGACGCGCAGCTGCCAGTCCTCCATTCATGTTATTCAGCGAAGTGCCGACGGGTTTCGCGCCCTGCATGGCGCACCCATGGCGAGTACCGTAAGCAGGCGGGGATGCCGTCGAGCTGCCAGCATGATGTCACTATGACGCTATTCTGCCGCCTGGCCAGACAGCTCCTTGACCAGCTTGCGGAACAGCTCGAGCTGCCACTTTGAGTGGTACTTGTGCGTCACCGCCGCGAGTGACGCCATCAGCACCAGTGACCCCACAGTTGCGCCTATCACCGCGCCCTTCTCCCTGCGGAACTGCTGCCGCCTCGCAGCTGCTTCGGCCTTGGCCTGCGCCTCCGCGGCCGCCGCAAGTGCCGCCGCGCCGCACGGCGGGGATGGGCAGGCGGGCGGCGGCGTGGCAGCGCGGGACGCGACGACGCAGTGGCCGTTCGCGCGAGTGAAGCCGCGTGCGCAGGCCGAGCAGTCGTCGCCCGAGTGACCGTCAAAGCAGCTGCACACGCCGATTGCATAGCATATGCCGAAACCGCTGCACGCAGGCGGGCGCGCCGCAGACGCCAGAGGTGCTGCACCCACCCAGGGGGCGGGCGCGCCGCCGTCGCCGCTGCCGTCGCCGCTGCTGCTCGGGCTGGAACTGCTGTCGCCACCGCTGCTGCTGCTGCTGCTGCTGCTGCTGCTGCTGCTGCTGCTACTGTTGCCACTGCCGCTGAAGTCAGCGCCGTCGAGCGGCAGGAACGGCGGGCACGACCAGAAGCGGAACTCACAGTCTGCGGGGCAGCCCTCCCCGGGGTTGTCCGTGGTCACGCGCTCCCCCACCTCGCACACCCCGTTGCCGCATGTGCCCTGACGCGCGACGGCCTCAAGGCTTGAGAACGCCAGCTGCGTGCCCGCCGCGGCGCCGGGCACCGCGAGGCTCGTGCCGACCAGCGTCAACGCGGCCGCCAGCGCGGCGGCCGTGCCGGGGGGCGCGGTGGCGGATGCGCCGCGGATTGTGATGTCGATGAGTATGCTGCGCGCCCCTGCCCCGCCAGTGAGCCGGCTGCCTGCGTACCTGCTCCTGCTACTGCTGCCGCTACTGCTGCCACCACTGCCATTGCCGTTGCTGCTGTCTGCACGCGCTGCCGAGTCCGCAGATATCACAGTAGGCGCCGGCTGGGCGGCAGCGAGCAGGTACGGGCCACCAAGGGCCATACGCTGCGCCCAGCTGGCCTGCAGACCGCCGCCAGTCAACCATGCGTCCACGCTGGACCTCGGCCTGCCGGCCCCGCTGCCGCCCCCCCTTCCGCCGCCGCCCCTGCTGCCGCCGTCGTCGGCCCAGACCGCCAGCGCGTCGCGCTCGCGGCGCGCGCGCGCGACGGCGCCGGCGGTGAGCTCGCTGCCGCCGCCGGGCGCCGAGATCTTGACCGTCACCAGCGACCGGTCAAAGGGCGCCCCCAGCTGGCGCGACACCACGCGCGCAACCTCGTCCTGCACTGCGGCGCGCAGCCGCTTGTTGGGGTTCGAATTGACTGACAGGTAGGGCTCCGGCCGCGCGACGAGCCCCAGCAGCTGCAGCCGCACGCTGCACGCCGCGGTGCCGTTGCACACGCCGCACTCGTCCACGTCGCTGCCGGCCGGGCAGCAGACGCCCTGCGCGTCGAGGGAGCCGACGCAGCAGTTGTTTTGGGCGTCGAGGACGGAGCCGGTGCCGTTGCACACGCCGCAGGCGTCCACCCAGCCGAAGTCGCAGCACTGACCCTGGGAGTCCAGGGCGGCACCTGTGAGGCCAGAAACGCGGCGCGGGTTCGAAAATGGTTGGCGCACCACCAGAGGCTGGAGGGCCCAACCGAGGGTATTCCAACGTAGAGATGGTCAAACGGCCAGGCACAAACGCGAAACTGGCGCTCCCGCAAGCCGCGCGACCGGCGCACCTTGGCAGCACCCGCCGCGCAGGTCGACCGCCGCGCCCGGCGGGCACGCCAGCGCGGCCGCCGTCGCGTTCGCCGGGACGTCGCCCCCGACGTTCGCAGTGTACAGGTCTGCGCCGCCGCCGGCGCCGCCGCCGGCGCCAGCGCCGGGGCCGCTCGGGGGCGCGGCCGCGCTCCCCACAGCCGTGTCTGGGGCAGAAACGACGGCGTCAGGCTGCTGCAGGGCTGCGGCGGTCGCGGGGTGCGCGGCCGCTGTGGCATGGGCCTGCGACACGGCGCCGCCTGCAGGCGCCAGCGGGCTGGCGTGGCCGGTGGCGCTGCTGATGCCCCCACCAACGCCGCCGCCTGCTGGGGCGCCGCTCGGGCCGCTGGAGGGCTCCCAAAGGCTCGCTCCCGCGACATTGCTGCTGCCGATCTTCACATTGCCGCCGCTGCTGCTGCCGTTGCCGTCACCGCTGCTGCCGCTACTGCTGCTACTGCTGCTGCTGTTGCTACTAGTACTGCTGCTGCTGTTGCTGGTTGCACTGCTTGGCGCAACAGGCCGTCGTCTTACGCCCGAGGCGCCCAAAGTGGGCTTCAGCTGCGCCCCAGAGCCGCCGCTGGCGCCGCCGCCGCCGCCGCTCACGCTGGCCGCCCCGCTGCCGCCTCTGCCTCCGCTGCCGACGCCCGAATTCCACGCCGCTGCCCCGGGTGCGCCGCTTGGCAGCAAGGTCGCCGCAGCTGCCGGGCTGTCGCCCGGCACCGAAGGGTCTGCGCCCGGTGGCGGCCAGGCGGTGCCCGTGCCGTCGCCCCCATCGCCCGCCCCAGGCGGCTGGCCGCCGTCCCCCTGCCCGTTCCCAATCCCTGGGTCCGCGCCGCTGCCGCCGTCACTGCTGCCGCCGCCGCCGCCGCTGCCCCCGGCGCTGCACTCTGGCGGCCACGACGCAGGCGTGCACTCCACGTCCAGCTGGGGCATGGCAGATGTGCAGAAGCGCCCCGCCACGATCTCATCGGTCGCTTGGTCAACGCAGTCAAACCCCCGCGGCTGCACCCACTGCGACGGGGTGTGTGGAGGATGCAAGGGCTGCGTGTGTGACTGCAGGCAACGCCAAGCCTTGTGGGTTGCGCACCCAGGTTTTGAGCCAAATTGCTGACCTGATCCCTTTCTTGTCCCGTCGCATTGAAGCAGCTACGAATGCAGAGGCCGCGCTGCGCGCGGCGCCCCTCAGGGCGATGCCACCCCTCCTGGCGTGCAAGCGTGCATCTCCCGTGCAGCCGCATGCGCCCGCACGCGCCGCGCACCACGCCGCACGGCGCCGCCGGGTCGACCGCGACGCAGTCCCCCAGCTGCCGCGGCCGCCAGAAGTACGCGTCGCACGGCTTGGTCGCGCACGGCGCCGTCGACGCGTCCAGCTGCGCCGCGTCGCACAGCGCTGCGTCGGCGGCGGCCAGGGTCGAGGTCAGCCGGCACGTCGCCTCGCGCGCCGCGGTGCCGCCGCCGCAGCCGAGGGGGTTGTCGCAGGCCCAGTCGCTGTAGGTCCACACGTAGGCCGGCGGCGGCGGCGCGGCGGGCCCGGGGCAGGCGGCCCACAGCAGGCCGGCGAGGGCTGCTCGCGCGGGCGCGGGGCGCGGGGGCAATAGAGGGCGGGCGGGCCGGCGTCGGTAGGGAGCGGGGCGGCCAGGGGCGCTTGCACGCTGTTGTGCTCGTAACCCACACGCCGATGACACCAAAGGCCCGCGCTGGGAGCGGGGCGGCCAGGGCCGATCGGGTGCTGTTTCCCATGCGACCCGCAACCCCGCCGCCCGCTATGATGGCGCCACGGGCCCGCGGCGGGCGCCCCTCTCGCGCTCCGCCCGCGAAGCCCCTCCACACGTCTTGAGCCCGCGGGCCTCGAGCCATCCCAAGCGCCCGCAGCGCCCCC